TTCTCACCCTAACCATTTGGTTTTTAGGGCATTATTGCCTGGTTTTGGTGCCATGGAGCCGGTGTAGGTAGAAAAAAAAAATTAAAAAAATTAAATATAAACCCCAGCCAAGAGCTGGCTTGGGACAGGATAATTTTGGGGGAGGAATGGTTTTTTTATTTTTATTTTTTTATTTTTTTTTTCTTGGGGGGGTAAAATGTGGGTGTTTTGTAACTGTGTCTCTCTCACCTCTCCGGGACCGGGGTTCCTTCCAGTGCAACTGCAGATCGAAGACCTGACCCGCAAACTGCGCACGGGAGACCTGGGCATCCCCCCTAACCCGAGGACAGGTCGGGACCTCCCCCCCCCTGCCCCCCCAGACCTGGGCACCCCCCCGGGGCCCCCCCGGACCTGGGCACCCCCCCGGGGCCCCCCCGGACCTGGGCACCCCCCCCCGGGCCCCCCCCCGTGAGCCGCAAGCAGCGCACGGGAGACCCTCGGCTGTGCCCCCTCCCCTGAGCCAGGACAGGTCGGGACCCCCCCTCCTTCCCCATTTCCCTCCTGGATTTGGGGGTGCTCACCCCCCCCACACCCCCTGTGCTGATCCAGGGCCCCCCCAGTCTGGGGTGTTCCCCCCTGAGTTTGGGGGTGCTGCTCTGGAACCCCCCCCCACTTTGGGGTCTTGTTCCCCCTGAGCCCGGCCTGGGGCTCGTTAGGTGCGGAATAATGACCTGCAGTGCTGGCTTAAATGAGCTCTGGGGGCTTAACGAGGCCCCAGCCCCACTGCACCCCCCTTTTCCCTCTCCTTTCCCCCCCCCTTTTCACCCCCAATTTTTTCTCTGGGGGGGTGGGGGGCAGAAGCTGCCGTTGCCACCTGCAAAGAGCCAAATTCCCCCCTCCACTCCCTCTCTTCACCTTTTCCTCCTGTTTTGGCCCCGTTTTTTTCTGTGGCAGGGCAGGACGGGGGTCCCTCACCCCTCAGGGACCCCTGCTCTGGGGGGGTCCCCAGCTCTGTGGGGGTCCCCAACCCCGGGGGGGGGTCCCTGTGTCCTCAGGGATCCCTCACCTTTGGGGGTCCCTCACCTTTGGGGGGTCCCTCACCCCGTGGTGGCCGGGGGGGGCTCTCCTGAGTCCCAGGACCGGGGGGAGGGGGACACCCTCTGCCCCACCCCCCCAGGTTTTGGGGGGGGGTGGGGTCTCACCCCCCCCCCCCCCCAGCACACACAGCCCCAGGTTTTGGGGGTCTCCCAGGTTTGGGGGGGCGCAGGCCCCCCCGCGCTAACCCAGCCTTGCTCCTGCAGCGCCCCGGGCCGAGGCCGCTCCCCCCGCTGCGGCGTCGTTAGCGCTGGTTGGGGGGGATTAATTAATGAATTAACGATTGATCACGAGCGGGGACAGTGACGTCGCAGTTCCACCGAGGACCCGGCTGCTGCCAACCCCGAAAAGTCGCTTTTTCCCCCCAAACCGGGGGCAGGTTCGACTGTCGCCCGCGCCGGCTGTTTTTGGAGGATCCGCCTTAATCTCTTCCCTTCTTGCAGCCGCTGCCAAAATTCGCTATTTTGGGGGGGGAGGGGAGCCAAGATTTAACCAAACCCGAGCGATTCTGACTCTTTTTTTTTATTTTTTTATTTTTTTTCCTTCCTCGCTGATAATTCTGATTTTAATCATAATCTGATTTTCTCACCCCGATACGGCTCAGCTCAAGCGACCTTGACTCTTCCCTCCGGGGCTGCCAAAGCCGCGCGGCCCCCCCAGACAGGGACCTTTTCCTCCTAGAAACTGGGAAATTGGGCAAAAAAACAAAAAAAAAAAAAAACAAAAACGGGGAGAACTGGGCACAACCTGGGAGAAAAGGAGCAGGAACGGGGCAAAGCCAGGGAAAAAACAACAAAACCGGACACAAAAGGGCCAAACCCTGACCCAGCAAAGGCCAAAGCGCAGAGAAACGGGCAGAGAGGGGCCGCTGGTTTGGGGAGTGGGAGGGCTGTGCTCTGCTGGCCTTAATTGGGCGCTAATTAATGCTCCCGCCCCCAATTATCCCCTCCTGGGGTGGGTGGGGGCAGTGGCACAGGGTGGCCATGGGGGGGGGGGTTTGTGGTGGTTTGGGGAGGGGGGGGTCCTGACCCCTCCCCACCCCTCCACACCCCCTTCCCCATCGCCAACAGCGAGGGGAGGGAAAGAGCCCCCACACCCGGGGGTTGGGAGGGATGGGGAGGGGGGTTCTGGTGGTGCAGCCCCTCCCTGAGGGGTCTGGGGGCCCCCCAGTGACCCCCCCACCCCCCGGAGCAGGTCCCCCTCCCCGGAGCCCATCTACAACAGCGAGGGGAAGCGCCTGAACACGCGGGAGTTCCGCACGCGCAAGAAGCTGGAGGAGGAGAGGCACAACCTCATCACCGAGATGGTGGCCCTGAACCCCGACTTCAAGCCCCCAGCTGACTACAAGTGAGGAGGGGCCTCCCCCCACACCCCGATTTGGGGCTGGTTCTGCCCACTTTGGGGGTTCCCCCAAGGGTTGGAGCCCTGATTTTTGTCCTTCCCCAGGCCACCGGCAACGCGGGGTGAGCGACAAGGTGATGATCCCGCAGGATGAGTACCCCGAGATCAACTTCGTGGGGCTCCTCATTGGGCCCAGGTGGGCACCCCGAGATCCTGGGGGTGTGGGAGGCTTTGGGGCTGGGGGCTTCACCCCAGGAATGTGGGGAGTTCCTGCAAACACTGAGGTGCTGCTGGGTCCCCATCCCAACACCTGCAGAGTCCCGGCATGGGTGACCCCCCTCACTCCCCCTAATTAACACAGGGTTAGTTAATGTTTAATGACAGACCCACGTCTATAACGAGCCTGAGCTCCTGATGAGCCAGTTCCCCACTCCCCCCAGTGTGGGCTGCCCTGATGGACCTGTGGGACCCCCCAAAATTCCCAAGCAGAGCACAGAGAGGGAACCCAAGCCAGAGCAAGGGTGAAGGAGGACGGGTGGGCTCTGTGAGTGTCCCCCCTGTGTGACCTGCGTGTCCTGGCGGCCCGTTCTCAGGGGGAACACTCTGAAGAACATCGAGAAGGAGTGCAATGCCAAGATCATGATCAGGGGCAAGGGCTCGGTCAAGGAGGGCAAGGTCGGCCGCAAGGACGGGCAGATGCTGCCGGGCGAGGACGAGCCCCTGCACGCCCTCGTCACCGCCAACACCATGGAGAACGTCAAGAAAGCCGTTGGAGCAGGTTTGGGGGTGTCCCCGAGGGGCTTTGGGGGTGGTTTGGAGGTGCAGCCCCCCCGTCTGACACCCTCTGTGCCCCTCCCCAGATCAGGAACATCCTGAAGCAGGGCATCGAGACCCCCGAGGACCAGAACGACCTGCGCAAGATGCAGCTGCGGGAGCTGGCGCGGCTCAACGGGACCCTGCGGGAGGATGACAATCGGTCAGAGGGGTCCCACCGCCCCTAATTCCTTTTAAATTAACCCCTCAGAGTCCCTAAATAAACCCTCATTCCCTCCCCAAGCATCCTGAGGCCGTGGCAGAGCACTGAGACTCGCAGCATCACCAACACCACGGTGTGCACCAAGTGCGGCGGGGGCTGGGCACATCGCCTCCGACTGCAAGTTTGCCAGGTGACCCCCCAAAATAAACCCCCAGATCCTTGTGGGAGTCCATAAATGTCCCCCCAAAACCCCACCAGATCCTCCTGAGATCCTCCCAAACTTCTTGAGATCTGCTTGAGAACTCTCTGCAAATGCTCCTTAAATCTCTGAGAGCTCAATTATTCCCAAACTTTGAGATTGCCTAAATCAGCCTCGAGATCTTCCCAAATCCTCCCCAGATCCCTCAAAATCCCCTCTAAACTTCCCTGGGATTCCACCAAGTTCTCAGAACCCCTTTTGGGATCCATCTCCCTGAGATCTCCCCAAAACCCCACCAAATACCCTTAAATCCTCTCCAGCCCCTCTGAAATCCCCCAGAGCTTTTCCTTGGCCGTGCATGGGGAACACCCCTGAGCCCAGAGTTGGGCTGGGGGGGATTTGGGGGTGCAGCACCCACCAAGCTCACCATCCCACCATCCCTGCCAGGCCTGGGGACCCCCAGTCTGCACAGGACAAGGCTCGGATGGACAAGGAGTACCTGTCCCTGATGGCTGAGCTGGGCGAGGCCCCCGTGTCCGTGAGCTCCAACGCCCGCCCACAACAACAGCCCCCTTGTCCAGCAGCCACCGTGCAGCCAGCCAGGCTGGGGGGGCAGCCCCCCCCGGTGAGTGACCCCCAAAAACCCCCCCTGTGAGCCCCCAGAGCCCCCTGACCCCCACCCCTGAACTGCTGCCCCCAAAAGCAGACCCATGTCAGGTGTGGGATCAGTGAGTGACCCCCCAAAAATCCCTCTGGGAACCCCCAGAATCCTCACACCTATCCCTGAACTGCTGCCCCAAAAGCAGCCCCATGTCAGGTGTGGGATCAGTGAGTGACAACCCCCCAAAGCCCCTATAACCCCCCCAAAACCCCTATAACTCCCCCCAAAACACCCCTGACACCCCCCAAAACCCCTATATAACCTCCCCAAAACCCCTATAACCCCCCAAAAAACCCCTTATAACCCCCCCCAAAACCCCTATAACCCCCCCTAAAACTCCCTTCTAACTGCCCCCCAAACCCCTATAACTGCCCCCAATACCCTTATAGCCCCCCCAAAAACCCCCCTATAACTGCCCCCCCAAACCCCTATAACACCCCCCTGACCCCCCCCCAAACCCCTATAACTCCCCCCACCAAACCCCCCTGACCCCCTCAAACCCCCCCTGACCACCCCCATAACCCCTATAAACCCCCCCTAAAAACCCCACTATAACCCCCCCTGACCCCCTCAATACCCCCCCTGACCCCCATTTTTTCCCCCCAGAGCCGCCCCCCCCTGGATGAGCTCAGCGCCCTCCGAGAACCGTCCCTACCATGGGCTGCACGGGGGGGGGCCCGGGGGGGCCCGGGGGTCCCCACAGCTTCCCCCACCCCCATGGCTGGCATGGGGGGGGGGCACGGGGGGCACCCCCTGCAGCACACCCCGAACGGGCCCCCCCCCGTGGATGCAGCCCCACCACCCCCCCCATGGGGGGGGGGGGCCGCACCCCCCCGGCCACCCCGGCCCCCACCACATGGGTACGGACGATCCTGGCTGGGGAGGGGGGAAAAAGGGGGGGTTTGGGGGTTTATTTGGGGTGAGAAAAAGGGATTTTTTTGGGTGAAAAAAAGGGGGGGGTTGGAGGTTTTTTGGGGGGGTGAAAAATAGGGTTTTTTGGGGTGAAAAGAGGGATTTTTTTGGGGTGAATAAAGGGGTTTTTGGGGGTGAAAAAAGGGATTTTTGGGGGTGAAAAAAGGGGTTTGGGGAGTTTATTTGGGGTGAAAAAAGGCATTTTTGGGGTGAAAAAAGGGATTTTTTTTTTGGGTGAAAAATGGGGTTGGGGGGTTTTTTGGGGGGGTGAAAAAAAGGGATTTTTTGGGGTGAAAAATGGGGGGGTTGGGGTTTTTTGGGGGGTGAAAAAAGGGGTTTTTGGAGTGGAGAAAGGGGGTCTTGGGGTGGAAAAAGGGGCTTGGGAGTTTATTTGGGGTGAAAAAGGAGATTTTTCTTGAGTAAAAAACGGGGGTTTTAGAGGTGAATAAAGGGGTTTTGGAGGTGAATAAAGGGATTTTTGGGGAGTTTTTTTGAGGTGGAAAAAGGGGGGTTTTGGGTTTTTCTGTGGAGGTGAAAAATGATGTTTTTGGGAGTTTATTTGGGGTGAAAAAAGGGATTTTATTTTTTTGTTGTTGAATAAAAGGGATTTTGGGGTGCAAAGGGGGGAGTTGGGTACTCCCACCCTCCCCTTAAGTGGGGAGCTGAGTGAGAAATTGGGGGGGGGGGTTTGGGGGTGCTCGGGGAATTTTGGGGGCTGAAAAAGAGGATTTGGCCACCTTTGTTCATTTCTAAAACTTTTGGGGGTGGTGTGAGGAGGATTTTGGGGTGAGAAGTGGGAATTTGTGTTATGGGGGGGGATTTGGGGATTGGGAGGATTTGGGGTTAAACCAGGGAGTTTAACCCTTCTTTTCCCAAGCATGATTTTGGATGTGAGCCTGGGGGAGGAAGGGGCTTTTGGGAGCTGATTTTTGGGGGGTGTGGGTGTTTTTTGGGGGGGGTGTGGGTGTTTTTTTTGGGGGGTGGGAGGGGGTCCCCCCCATCCCTAAGGCCACGGTCTCTCATTCCCTCAAGATCAGTACCTGGGAAATGCGCCGGTGGGCTCTGGGGTCTATCGCCTGCACCAGGGAAAAGGTGAGACCCTCACCCCAAAAAAAAAACACCCCAAAACCCCTCCCCACATCTCCCTGAGCCCCCCCAGTTCCCCTTGACACCCCCCCCATAAAGTACTGCTGTTACTGGGGGGCTTGGGACCCCCAAATCCTTCTGACCCCCCCCTCAATTTCCCCTCCCCAATACAATCCCAATACCCCTGGCTGTCCTGGCACCCCAATTTCCCCCTGAACCCCCCAATTTCCCCTTCCTCAATATGATCCCAGTACCCCTGGCTGTCCTTACACCCTCCTGAGCCCCCCAATTTCCCCCTCCCCAATATGATATCTCTGTCACTGGGCTCTCCTGACACCCCAAATTCCCCCTGAACCCCCCAGTTTCCCCCTCCCCAATACGATCCCAATACCCCTGGCTGTCCTGACACCCCAATTTCCCCCTCCCCAATAATTACACCCCCTGACACCCCCAATTTCCTCCACCTTTAAGGATGTATGTCAATGGCTCTCCTGACACCCCAATTTCCCCCATGAACCCCCCAATTTCCCCCTCCTCAATATGATCCCAATACCCCTGGCTGTCCTGGCACCCCAATTTCCCCCCTCCCCAATATGGTATCTCTGTCACTGGCTCTCCTGACACCCCAAATTCCCCCTGAACCCCCCAATTTCCCCCTCCCCACTACAATCCCAGTACCCCTGGCTGTTCTGACCCCCCAATTTCCCCCTCCCCAATATCTCTGTCTGTCCTGACCCCCCAATTTCCCCCTCCCCAGTACAATCCCAGTCCCCCTGTCTCTCCAGGCACCCCATTTTCCCCCTCCCCAATATCTCTGTCTCTCCTGGTTCCCCAATACAATCCCAGTGCCCCTGTCTCTCCTGACCCCCCCAATTTCCCCCTCCCCAGTACAATCCCAGTCCCCCTGTCTCTCCAGGCACCCCATTTTCCCCCTCCCCAATATCTCTGTCTCTCCTGACCCCCCAATTTCCCCCTCCCCAATATCTCTGTCTGTCCTGACCCCCCAATTTCCCCCTCCCCAGTACAATCCCAGTCCCCCTGTCTCTCCAGGCACCCCATTTTTCCCCCTCCCCAATATCTCTGTCTCTCCTGACCCCCCAATTTCCCGTTCCCCAATACAATCCCAGTGCCCCTGTCTCTCCTGACCCCCCAATTTCCCCCTCCCCAGTACAATCCCAGTGCCCCTGTCTCCTGACACCCCCAATTTCCCATTCCCCAGTACAATCCCAATACCCCAGGCTCTCCTGACCCCCCCAATTTCCCCCCTCCCCATCACAATCCCAGTCCCCCTGTCTCTCCGGGCACCCCCTGACCCCCCCATTTCGTGCCCCCCCCCAGGTATGATGCCACCACCGCTGGGTATGCTGCCCCCGCCGCCCCCCCCGCCCGGTGGGCAGCCGCCCCCCCCCTCCGGGCCCCTCCCTCCCTGGCAGCAGCAGCCGCCGCCGCCCCCCAGCAGCAGCAGCACCCCCTTGCCCTGGCAGCAAAGTGAGTCTGGGGGGGCCCCGGTGGGGCGGGGGGGGCGATTTCGGGGGTTATTTCCTGGCTTTGGGTCAGTTCCCGTTATCCTGAGGGAGGGGGGCGGGTGGGGTTGTGTGCCCCAGAAATGAGTTTTTCCTTTAATTAATACCCCACTAATTAACCCAAATCCCACATGAGCCCTCTGGGGGCTGGGCTGTGGTGATGGTGGGAGGGGGTCTTGTTCCTTTTGGGGGTTCCCTGTCCCCCAGTTACCCCTCTACCCTTAATTAACCCCCACTTTTAATTACCCCAGGCTACTCAGGCTCCCTTAGCATGACTTACCCCCCCTCCTCCAATTAACCCCCAGTGTTAATTAACCCCTAATCCCAATGAGCCTCTCTGGGGGTGTGGGATGTCTTGCTCCTTTTGGGGGTTCCCTGTCCCCCCAATTACCCCTCTACCCTTAATTAACCCCCACCTTTAATTACCCCAGGCTACTCGGGCTCCCTTAGCATGATTTACCCCCTCCTTTAATTAACCCCCAGCGCTAATTAACCCTTTCTTTTCCCCCCCATCAAACAGATACGACGACCACCACGAGCGCTGGCAGCGCCTCCCTCCCTCCCTGGCAGCAGCAGGCGGGGGGGGGTGCGGCGGGGGGGGGGGGGCGGCTTCTTCGGGGGCCCCCCCGCTCCCCGGCAGCCCCTCCATGGTGCCTTTGCCCCCCGGGGTTCAGCCCCCGCTGCCCCCCCGGGGCCCCCCCGCCCCCCCCCGCCCCCTCCTGGCTCCGGGGGCCTGATGTACGCGCCCCCCCCCCCCCCCCCCGCCGCCCCCCCCCATGGACCCTTCTAATTTCGTCACCATGATGGGCATGGGGGTGCCCGCCCTGCCCCCCTTCGGCATGCCCCCCCGCGCCCCCCCCGCCGCCCCCCCAGAACTGAGCCTCGGACACTGCCGCTGCGGGGACCCCCCCCAAAAAACACCACAGCATCGGGGGATCCCCCCTCAAAAAACACCATGGGGATCCCCCCGGCAAGGACTGATCCATTGTGGGGACCCCCCCTCAAAAAACACCACAGCGGGGGATCCCCCCCTCAAAAAACACCATGGGGATCCCCCCTCAAAAAACACCATGGGGATCCCCCCGTCAAGGACTGATCCATTGTGGGGACCCCCCCCTCAAAAAACAACATCAGGGGATCCCCCCCTCAAAAAACACCATGGGGATCCCCCCCAGGACTGATCCATTGTGGGGATCCCCCCCCAGGACTGATCCATTGTGGGGACCCCCCCCCTCAAAAAAAAAACCATCGGGATCCCCCCCCAGGACTGATCCATTGTGGGGACCCCCCCTCCAAAATACACAACATCAGGGGTTCCCCCCCTCCCTCGAGGACTGATCCATCATAAGGAGCTCCCCCTCCCCAAAAGTCGATCAGGAGCCCCCCCAAAACACCACAGGGAGCCCCCCCCAGGACTGATGGATTGTGGGGACCCCCCCTCCCCCAGAAGACCCGGGAGCCCCCCCCCCGCCCCCCATGGGCTGTTCCATAGCAGGGAGCCCCCTCCCCTCCACCCTTCATGAACTGAGGAATTTTGGGGTGCCCCCCCCCGTCCCACATCCATGGGACCCCCCCCCAGACCCCCCCCGGGACCACCTTGTGAACTGGTTTACCCTTGCCCCCCCCCCAAAAAACACCCCAAAATCAGGGGCGGCCCTGAATCGAGGAGGGGTCGGGGGGCAGGGATGGGGAAGGGGGGCGGGGTCTGCAAAGGTGGGGGGGGGCACTGCAGCGACACAAACCTGAGCCCCCTCCCCCCCCAAAACAAATCTCGGGGTCCCCCTCTTGTGTTTCTTCCTCTTCGTTCTGGGCCCTCCCACCCCCCCCCAAAAAAAAATTCCCCTTGTAGAGCCCCCCCCCGTCCCTCCCCCGCGCTTTTTTTGTGTATGAATAAAGGAGCGGGACCCCCCGTTGGGCCCCCCTCATTTCGTGTCCCGTTTTCCCCCCTCCCCTCCCCGCGTCACCGGGCTCGGGTTTCGCCGTGCGCCCCCCCCGCCGTGAAACCGGAGCCGGTGTAGCGGGGGTCGCGCCCCCCCCCACCCCCTGCGGGCCGTCACTCAGCGCCGAGGTCACCGCGAATGTCGCGACCTTCATGGGGGGGGGATCCGGTTACCGCGGGGGGGGCGAAAAGGGGGGGGGCAGCACGTACAGACCCCCCTGACCCCCCCCGGAGCGGGGACACACCCAGGGGACCCCCCCCCAGGGACATTGGGGACCCCCCCGGGTTTGGGGAGGGGGTCGCAGGGGGCGCGCGGCCCGCAGGGGGCGCTGTGGGACCAGGAAGCGCTCAAGCTCCGCCCGTTCATGAATAATTAACGAGCAGTGGGCATTGCCCGCCTTGAGCTCCGCCTCTTTATGAATAATTATCGGTTCATTAGCCTGAAGGCCGGAGTGGGGGGCGTGGCTCCACTCAGGCTCCTCCCTCCTCATGAATATTGAAGCAGCCGCGCGCTCAAAGCGGCCGGGGCGCCGCTGCTGCCGCCGCCCCCGGCCCAGAGCCCCCCAAGTCCTAAACCCCCAAAACCCGGAGCCCTCCGGACCCCCCCCAAATCCAGAGACCCCCAGGACCCCCCCCCAAAATTCCGAGCCCTCCGGACCCCTCCAAAACCCGGAATCCCCAGGACCCCCGAAAACCGGAGCCCTCCGGAGCTCTCCCAACCCGGATTCCTGCGGACCCCCCAAAGCCGGACCCCCGGAGCTCGGACCCCTCGGAGCTTCTCATCCCTTCAAGCCCCCCCTGACTCTCCAGAGACCCCCCACCCCCCATTTCTGTCGCCATGTCGCGACCGCTGACGGACGCGGATCGGCGGCGGCAAATCAGCGTGCGGGGCCTGGCGGGGCCCGAGAACGTGGGGGAGCTGAAGAAAAACTTCAACCGGCACCTGCACTTCACCCTCGTCAAGGATCGCAATGTCGCGACATCGCGCGACTACTACATGGCGCTGGCACACACCGTGGCGCGACCACCTGGTGGGGCGCTGGCTGCGGACACAGCAGTACTACTACGAGAAAGACCCCAAGGTGGGCGTTTGGGGGGTCCTGGGGGGGTTTTGGGGGGTCCTAGAGGGGTCTGGGGGCTGCAGAGCCAACAGTGCCACCGTGAGGAAGAGGCCAAAACTGGGGGTTTTGGGGAGGTCCTGGGGGGGGTCTGGGGGGGTCTGGGGGCTGCACAGGCAGCAGTGCCACCATGAGAAGACCCCAAGGTTGGGGGGTTTGGGGGGTCCTGAGGGGTTTGGGGGTCCTGGAGGGGTCTGGGGGCTGCAGTTTCCATGATGAAGAAGAGGCCAAAGTGGGGATTTGGGGGGGGTCCTGGGGGTGTTTGGGGGTTCTGGGGGGGTTTGGGGGTCCTCAGAGGGGTCTGGGGGCTGCAGATCCAGCAGTGCTATAACAGAAGAACCCCAAAGTGGGGGAAAAGGTGGGCTTGAGGGTCCCCATGCCCACCCATACTACTGTGACGACCCCAATGAGGGGGGGGGGGTTGTGGGGGTCTCAGCTCTGGGAGGGGGAGATTTTGGGGGTGCATTTCGGGGGGGGATCAGGACTGGGGGGTTTGGGGGTGCATTTCGGGGGGGATCAGGACTGAGGCGGGGAGATTTTGGGGGTGCATTTCGGGGGGGGGGATCAGGACCGAGGGGGGGGGTTTGGGGGTGCATTTCGGGGGGGAGATCAGGACTGGGGGGGGGTTTCGGGGGGGATCAGGACTGGGGGGGGTTCTGGGGGTGCATTTGGGGGGGGGATCAGGACTGGGGGGGGTCCTGGGGGTGCATTTGGGGGGGGATCAGGACTGGGGGGGTTCCTTTCCCCCCCCCCATACCCCGGTTAAATTTATCCTGACCTTTCCCGTTACCCCGGGCGCTGCCATTTAATCCCGACACCGGATAGCGGGGGGGCGGCGGGGCCGGGGGGGAGGAACCCGGGGGCGCGGGGGGTCCGTGACCCCCCAGTGACCCCCCAGTGGACCCCCCCTGACCCCCCCGTGACCCCCCGAACCCCCTTTTAGCGCATCTATTACCTGTCCCTGGAGTTCTACATGGGGCGCACCTTGACCAACACCATGGTGAATCTGGGGCTCCAGAGCGGCTGCGACGAGGCGCTCTACCAGGTATGGGGGGGGCACGGGGGGTTTGGGGGGTCTGGGGGGGCTGGGGGGGCTGGGGGGGGCTGGGGAGGGGTCGCGGGGGGGCCGCAGAGGGGCCGCAATGCGGGGGCTTGTCCCCGGGATTTGGGGGGGGTGGGACTGGGGGGACACGGGAAGGGCAGGGAGGGGACAGCGAGGGGGAGGGAGGGAGGGGAAGGGGGATGGGGACATTTTGGGGTGTCCCCCCACCAGTTTTGGGGTGTCCCCTCCAAGTTTTGGGGTCCCTCCCCCAAGTTTTGGGGGTCCCTCCCCAACCCCTGCTCTGTTGTCCCCGTCCCCAGCTCGGGCTGGACATGGAGGAGCTGCAGGAGATCGAGGAGGACGCGGGGGCTGGGCAATGGTGGCCTGGGGCGGCTGGCAGGTGCGGGGGGGGTCCCCGAGGGGCTGGAGGGGACCCCACAATGTCCCCGTTGTCCTCCCCGACCCCCCGGGATGTCTCTGATTGTCCCCAGCATTGTCCCCCGTGTCCCTCTCCCCCCCTCGGTGACAGCCCCGGTCACCGGGATCCCCCCAGGATGCTCCTGTCCCCCCCCCCCCCCATGTCCCCGTGGTGTCCCCAATGTCCCTGTGTCATCCCAGTGTCCCCCCCAGTGTCGCTGACCCCCACTGTCCCTGTGTCCCCACAGTGTCCCCCCGTGTCCCAGTGTCCCCAACCCGTGTCCCATGTCCCTGTGTCCCCAGTGTCCCTAACCCTGTCCCCAATGTCCCTGACCCTGTCCCAGTGTCCCCAGTGTCCCCATGTCCCTGACCCTGTCCCCAGCCCCTGTCCCCCTGTGTCTCCAATGTCCCCAATGTCCCTGACCGTGTCCCCGTGTCCCCAGCCCCTGTCCCCAATGTCCCTGACCGTGTCCCCAGTGTCCCTGACCGTGTCCCCATGTCCCTGACCGTGTCCCCATGTCCCCAGCCCCTGTCCCCAATGTCCCCTGACCGTGTCCCTGTGTCCCTGACCGTGTCCCCATGTCCCCAGCCCCTCTCCCCAATGTCCCCAATGTCCCTGACCGTGTCCCCGTGTCCCTGACCGTGTCCCCCGTGTCCCCAGCCCCTGTCCCCCAATGTCCCTGACCGTGTCCCCGTGTCCCTGACCCGTGTCCCCATGTCCCCCAGCCCCTCTCCCCAATGTCCCCAATGTCCCTGACCGTGTCCCCAGTGTCCCTGACCATGTCCCCATGTCCCCCAGCCTGTTTTCCTGGACTCCATGGCCACCCTGGGTCCTCGCCGCCTACGGTTACGGGATCCCGCTACGAGTTCGGCATCTTCAACCAGCGCATCGCGGGGGGGGTGGCAGGTGCGGGGGGGTCCCCGGGGGGGGGTCCTGGGGAACCCCAGGGGTCGTCAAATCCCCCCGGCGATTTTGGGGGGTGGCGCTTTTGGGGTTCCCTCCCTGTGCTTGAGAACAAAGAGGGGAGGGGGTGGGAACTTGGGGAAGGAGGGGTCTCTGTGTGGGTTTGGGGGGGGGTCTCTGTGTGTTTTGGGGTTTTGGGGGGGGTCTCTGTGTGGGTTTGGGGTTTTGGGGGGGTCTCTGTGTGGGTTTTTGGGCGGGGGGTCTCTGTGTGGGTTTGGGGTTTTGGGGGGGTCTCTGTGTGGGTTTTGGGCGGGGGTCTCTGTGTGGGTTTGGGGTTTTTGGGGGGGTCTCTGTGTGGGTTTTGGGTGGGGGGTCTCTATGTGGGTTTGGGGTTTTGGGGTGGGGGTCTCTGTGTGGGGTTTTGGGGGGGGTCTCTGTGTGGGTTTGGGGTTTTGGGGGGGTCTCTGTGTGGGTTTTGGGGGGGGTCTCTGTGTGGGTTTGGGGTTTTGGGGGGTGTCTCTGTGTGGGTTTCGGGGTGGGGGGTCTCTGTGTGGGTTTTGGGTTTTGG